ATTTATCCAACCTATTTTAAAGCTACACAACGTTCTAGCCTCTATAACGGTACTTGGGAGTTTGTTCCACTCATCCACAACTCTATTACCAAACCAGTACTTTCCTATATCCTTCCTGAATCTGAATTTTTCCAACTTAAAACCATTGCTGCGAGTCCTGTCTAGGCTAGATATTTTCAGCACACATTTACATCCCCTTTATTTATTCCTGTCTTCCATTTATACACCTCAATCATATCCCCCTAATTCTACGTCTTTCTAGAGAGTGCAGTTTCAGGGCCCTTAGTCTATCCTCATAGGGAAGGTTTCTGATACATGGGATCAACTTTGTCATCCTCCTTTGTACATTTTCCAGAGAATTTATATCCATTCTGTAATACGGTGACCAAAACTGTGCAGCATAATCTAAATGAGGCCTAAACCAAGGATGTATAGAGTTGAAGAACAACCTGAGGACTCCTATTATTTATGCTTCTTGATATGAAGCCAAGGATTCTATTAGCTTTATTGCGAACACTTATGCACTGTTGTCTTGGTTTCAGATTACTGCTAACCAGAACTCCTAAATCTTTTTCGCAATCCGTAATATTAAGATCTACATTATTTAGTTTATATGTGGCATGGTTATTGTCCTGTCCAACATTTAGAACTTTGCATTTGTCTATATTAAACTGCATCTGCCCTTCTCCGACCACTGCATCAGTCTATTCAAATCTTCCTGGAGTGCTCGAATGTCCTCGTCAGAATGAATTCGACGGCCTATTTTGGTGTCATCGGCAAACTTGCCGATGTCGCTCTTTTTTGCCCTCATCTATGTCGTTTATGTAGATTGTGAACAGCAGGGGGCCCAACACTGACCCCTGTGGAACACCGCTCGTGACACTTCCCCACTCTGATTTCTCCCCATTTATGCAAACTCTCTGCTGCCTATTTGTCAACCATGGGCCCCTATCCAGGAAAAAATTTCTCCTCCTATTCCATGTGCTTTAATTTTCCTCAACAGTCTCTGATGTGGGACCCTGTCAAAAGCCTTACTGAAGTCCATATACACAATATCATATTCATTACCATGATCTACCTCCTCAAATACCTTAGTGAAAAAAGTTAATAAATTCGTAAGGCAGGAACGCCCCTTTGTAAAACCATGCTGAGATTCGTTGATTAATTTATGCTTTTTAAGGTGGCTACGAACTGCCTCGGCAATTATTGATTCCATAAATTTTCCCACTATGGAGGTCAGGCTTATTGGTCTATAGTTCGAAGCTAAGGACCTGTCACCTGTTTTGAAAATAGGTATCACATTTGCCATTTTCCACTTATCTGGCACCATGCCAGTTTGTAGTGATATGTTGAAAAGATTAGCCAAAGGTGTGCTAAGCTCCTCTTTACATTCCTTTAGAACCCTTGCATACAGTTCATCAGGGCCTGGGGATTTGTTAGGTTTTAATTTATCTATTTGCCTAAGGACCATGTCACTTGTGACCCTAATAGTGCACAGTTTATTATCGTCCTGTTCTACATAATTTATCATTACTGGAATATCGCTGGTATCCTCCTGTGTAAAAACTGAGAGGAAGTATGTGTTAAAAATTCTACACATTTCCTTATCACTGTCAGTGAGCTGACCCGAGGAACTTTTGAGTGGGCCTATCTTGTCCCTGATCTTACTTCTGTATACCTGAAAGAATCCTTTTGGGTTAGTCTTCGATTCTCTTGCAACTTTAACCTCATAATCTCTTTTTGCTTTTCTAATTCCCTTTTTATTTCTCTCTTTAACTGAATATATCGATTTCTCAATTGCCCCTCTCCTCTTTTGATTTGCCTATATATGCCTCTCTTTTGACCAATCAGATATTTTAATCTATTGTTCATCCATTTAGGATCATTTTTGTTTGATCTGATTTCCCTATTTGGAACATAATTTGACTGAGCAGCTAGAACTATGCCCTGGAAAGCATCATATCGGCAACCATCACCACCTACCTGACCCTTAGTCAGGTCATTCCAGTTCAGCCCACCTAAGTAATTTTTCAGTCCTATGAAATCAGCCAAGCGAAAGTCAGGGACGGAGACTTGATTGCCATTATTAGGGGAATTCCATGATATATTAAAACTGAGTGATTTGTGATCACTTTCCCCAAGCTCATCATTAACCTCAAGATTATTAATTAGTGTTTCCCTACTGGCAAGAACCAAGTCAAGGAGGTTATTTCCCCAAGTCACAAAAAAGATGAGGTGAATCATAGAATTGATGAGGGGAAAAGAGTGAGTGGTGCACTTATGAGTCTGTGGAGACAAAGAACTTTGTCCTTGGAGGCAAAGAGGGGAATGTATGAGAGTATAGTTTTACCAACGCTCTTATATGGGTGTGAAGCATGGGTGATGAATGTTGCAGCGAGGAGAAGGCTGGAGGCAGTGGAGATGTCATGTCTAAGAGCAATGTGTGGTGTGAATATAATGCAGAGAATTCGTAGTTTGGAAGTTAGGAGGAGGTGCGGGATTACCAAAACTGTTGTCCAGAGGGCTGAGGAAGGGTTGTTGAGGTGGTTCGGACATGTAGAGAGAATGGAGCAAAACAGAATGACTTCAAGAGTGTATCAGTCTGTAGTGGAAGGAAGGCGGGGTAGGGGTCGGCCTAGGAAAGGTTGGAGAGAGGGGGTAAAGGAGGTTTTGTGTGCGAGGGGCTTGGACTTCCAGTAGGCATGCGTGAGCGTGTTTGATAGGAGTGAATGGAGACAAATGGTTTTTAATACTTGACGTGCTGTTGGAGTGTGAGCAAAGTAACATTTATGAAGGGGTTCAGGGAAACCGGCAGGCCGAACTTGAGTCCTGGAGATGGGAAGTACAGTGCCTGAACTCTGAAGGAGGGGTGTTAATGTTGCAGTTTTAAAAACTATAGTGTAAAGCACGCTTCTGGCAAGACAGTGATGGAGTGAATGATGGTGAAAGTTTTTCTTTTTCGGACCACCCTGCCTTAGTGGGAATCGGCCAGTGTGATAATAAAAAAAATTATATATATATATATATATATATATATATAATATATATATATATATATATATATATATATATATATATATATATATATATATATATACCACTTCCCCTACCACCCCATCTTTTCATATTTATTTTTTTTTTACTAATAGGAATATTTTATTACATAATATGGTACAGAAGATCCAAGAGATACACTATTGATATAAAGGTGGCACATACGGTACATGTTGTTACGTGTGTATCACCGATTATAAGGCGAAAATCTCATCCAGCTCCTCAGAGCTGGGGCGTGTGCCCAAAATACAGCAGGCATTACCCCTTTGAACAGCAGCACTGAGCCGCTGGAACAGAAAACTAGCTGCCCTGGGATCCCTAGTTACTCTGATGAGTCTTTTTCCCAGCTCCTTAAGGAATTTAGATGCACTCTTTCCCCATGAGCCAAGGGTCTCTGAGCCTATGGGAACAAGCATATAATGATGGGCAAGTTCTCCATATTTTCTAGACTTTTGGGACTCCTTGAAGCTGGCAGCTGCCCCTCCTTCCTCCCTGGTGTACTGGAGATAGGTATCAGCCAAGGTAGATGCACATGTATAGTCCCACACCACCTGCTTCCCATCTGTCCAGGCTTGAAGGGTGATACCATCTGGACGCTTCTGGCTGCCATCAGATCTGCATAGTTGGGGTGGCTCCCTTACTGCTGGGTATCCAGCTGTTGTGAGGCTCCTCTTGATAATGTTATTAACCTCCTCATGTCTTGCAATCTTTCCCTCGGATTTACGGCACACAAGACCATGGTACCCGAATTGGTCTGCTGCTTCACTGCCACAAATACACCTGTGTTCGGCGAGAATAGGGGCGACAAGTCGAAGGGCAACACCATATATATATATCTTTCAACACACCGGCCGTATCTCACTGAAGCGGGGTGGCCCAAAAGGAAAAACGAAAGTTTCTCCTTTTACATTTAGTAATACATACAGGAGAAGGGGTTACTAGCCCCTTGCTCCCGCCATTTTAGTCGCCTCTTACAACACGCATGGCTTACGGAGGAAGAATTCTATTCCACTTCCCCATGGAGATAAGAGGAAATAAACAAGAACAAGAACTAGAAAGAAAATAGAAGAAAACCCCGAGTGGTGTGTGTATATATATGTTTGTACATGTATGTGTAGTGTGACCTAAGTATAAGTAGAAGTAGCAAGACATACCTGAAATCTTGCATGTTTATAAGACAGACAAAAGACACCAGCAATCCTACCATCATGTAAAACAATTACAGGCTTTCGTTTTACACTCAGTTGGCAGGACGGTAGTACCTCCCTAGGTGGTTGCTGTCTACCAACCTACTACCTATAATATATATAATATACATATATACATACATATAATATATATATATATATATATATATATATATATATATATAGAATTAGAACTGGACAAGATTCCAATGCTCTATTTATTCATGTGAGAGATTTTATATATATATATATATATATATATATATATATATATATAATATATATATATATATATATATATATATATATATATATAATATATATATATATATATATAATATATATATATATAATATATAGAGAGAGAGAGAGAGAGAGAGAGAGAGAGAGAGAGAGAGAGAGAGAGAGAGAGAGAGAGAGAGAGAGAGAGAGAGAGAGAGAGAGAGAGAGAGAGAGAGAGAGAGAGAGAAACTGTACACACCACATAAAGAGCAAGAAAATATGAAGAACGAAAAAACTGGAACACTACAAGTCACTTACCTGACTGACGATGGCTCTCACAGACAGTTAAACACAGTGGATGATTCTATTAAGTTAATGAATCATCTATTCTACTACACTTCGGACGTAATGGCCAAACTGCATTGAATTAATGTTGCAACTGGCTGGGGAAACGTCTTCGAAAATAAAAATTCCCCAGGTGTTGCACATGGATTCAATTCCTCCCTCTCCCAGAGAACTACTACACCAAGAACTCACCTGAAGCAGCGGTCGGTGAGAGGAGTGATGACCAGCCTGGAGGTGTTACCCAGGTACTCGTAGCCGTACTGGAGGCGGGTCATGATCATGTCCACCTGAACCAGCTCGTTGACCCAGTAGTAACGCATCTGTGACACCCAGGTAAAGTCCGTCACGGAGGATGCGCCCTTGCGGATTAATTCCTGCACCACGTCACGCCCTTCAAAAAAGCCGGCAAAAAGTAACCAGTCAGTAATATGAAATTATTATTTATATGAAAGTTACTGAGAAAGATCAATAAAAATAGTAATAATAATGATAATAAGAGAAGAGAAGAAGAAAAGAAGAAGAAGAATTAAGCACATCGACCGTCTCCCACTGAGGAAGGGTGACCCGAAAAAGAAGAAACACTGTTTTGCCAGAAATATCCTCACATTACAACTAAGATAACCATCTGCAACATTCCCACACCTCCCTCAGAGTGCAAGCGCTGTACTTTCCATCTCCTGGACTCAAGTCCGGCTAACCGGTTTCCCTGGATCCCTTCATAAATGCTACCTTGCTCTCACTCCAACAGCACATCAAATCACAAGAAAAACACTTGTCTCTACTCCGTTGTAATACGCCCACACAGTCCGAATGTTAAGTATTTTAACAACTAACAAAGAAAAAGAGTTAAAGTATATATCAATATGCTGAATTAACATTAAGCTAAAAAATATGTTTTAGTGTATATTTGGTTAGAATATTAAAAAGAAAAGAAAGACAGAGCAGAGAGAAGAGGAAGATCTGGAAATATAAGGGAAATATAAAGGAAGCAGACAGGAACCTCCAGGAAGCACAGAGGGAAAGATCCAAGAAGCAGAGACAGAAAAAGACCCAAAAAGCAGAAGCACAGAATGATCCAAGAAGCAGAGAGAAAGAATGATCCAGGAATCAGAGACACAGAATGATCCAGGAAGCAGAGACACAGAATGATCCAGGAAGCAGAGAGACAGAGAATGATCCAAAAAGCAGAGAGAATGATCCAGGAAGCTGAGACACGCAGAATGATCCAGGAAGCAGAGACACAGAATGATCCAGGAAGCAGAAAGACACAGAATGATCCAGGAAGCAGAGAGACACAGAATGATCCAGGAAGCAGGGAGACACAGAATGATCCAGGAAGCAGAGAGAGACAGAATGATCCACGAAGCAGACACAGAATGATGCAGGAAGCAGAGAGAGACACAGAATGGTGCAGGAAGCAGAGAGAGACATAGAATGATCCAGGAAGCAGAGAGAGACACAGAATGATCCAGAAAGCAGAGAGAGATACAGAATGATGCAGGAAGCAGAGACACAGAATGATCCAGGAAGCAAAGACACAGAATGATCCAGGAAGCAGAGACACAGAATGATCCAGGAAGCAGAGAGACACAGAATGATCCAGGAAGCAGAGACACAGAATGATCCAGGAAGCAGAGAAACAGAATGATCCAGGAAGCAAAGAGACAGAATTATCCAAGAAGCAGAGAAGCAGAATGATTCAGGAAGCAGAGAGACACAGAATGATCCAAGAAACAGAGAATGATCCAAGAAGCAGAGAGACAATGATCCAAGAAGCAGAGAGACAGAATGATCCAAGAAGCAGAGAGACAATGATCCAAGAAGCAGAGAGAGAGAATGATCCAAGAAGCAGAGAGAGAGAATGATCCAGGAAACAGAAAGAGAAAGAGCCAGGAATCATAAGGAGATACATCTAAGCAGCAGGACATAGAAATCAACGAAGATATATAAAAAATAAATGCAAATTTTTTATCTAGTTAAAAGAGTAAGTGACCCAGGAGTAAGACACCCGAGAAAATAACAGATAAATCCCCCCCTCCCCAGTCTTAACCAGAGTTGGATACAGCAGAGGAGGCCTCACCATGAACATAGGTAACGATGAGAGCACCCAGCGTGAGGCGGGTGCCGTACTCCAGCTTTCCCCTCACCATTTCTACCACTTCCTGGATGCGGCTGTCACACACACCCACGTAGTCCTGTAGTAATAACATAACTCCACTTTATTGCTGAAGTGTTTTCTCATCGCAATAGTCGTCTTCAATGGAATCCTGTGTTATAGTCACCTGCACTTGATTGAACATGCATACTACATACGCGTGTTCAGTCCAATACAGAGAAGAACACTGGAAGATTAGTAGTAGTTTCAGACAAACAATAAATATACCCAAGTGTTGCATATGTGTCTCGTTCATCAGTCAGCGTTTGTGTTAAATAATAGGTATTATATCCAGCCGGATCTTAGAGTGATTTATCATTAAAATTCTTTAACAAGACTGATCCCAAATAAAGATTAATAATTAAAATTAGGAGAAAAAAAAACGTTATCAAATCGCTAGGTGATACAGGTTCAGAAGGCATCAAAACGTTGTGTAGTTTTCAATGCATTTTATGGGTTTGTTGTGTTCCAGCCCACACTGTTATGCCGTTTATTTCACACAGTTCTGTTTATTGGAATATTTTGGATATTTTCTCTTGCATTTCATGCTTAATAGATATTTTTTCTGTCGAAGAATGTGATTTGTTCTCTCTTATTAAGAAGTATGTGAATACCTGTGAATTACTGATATACTCTTATGCATATTATATCCTATGAAAAATTATGAAAATAATAGTGGCCAAGAATATCAGAATTTAAATAGTCCAATTATCTAATGTAAATTTTGTTTATGTAAAAATACTACGGAATTTCTGTTTATTGTATTCGAAAAGTGACATAGGAACAGAGTAACATCTCGAAATTTATACTTTGACATCAACAAAATATCCATGTCGGGAAGCAGGGCCATTGTTCAGCTTACTACCGTTAAAATCCAAATAAAAATTCTAAATCATGAAAGAAAAATCCCATACATATCGGTAATACGGCATAATATGTTTGGTTATCACTTCATATATTTGACCTGGTTTGGCATATTTAACGTGAAACAAAGCTGCCAATTCATGGACCTGAATTCCAAAAATCTGGGACATGTAGACAGGACAACAAGAATATTCTTTAATACATCCTAGCTGCTTATATGTCCCCACATGTTTCACCCAGCAGAAACACCAAGCATGCTTCACTCAGGGGTGAAGCATGACAACATGCTTCACTCAGGGGTGAAGCATGATAACATGCTTCACTCAGGGGTGAAGCAAGACAACATGCTTCACTCAGGGGTGAAGCATGACAACATGCTTCACTCAGGAGTGAAGCATGACAACATGCTTCACTCAGGGGTGAAGCATGACAACATGTGTCACTCAGGGGTGAAGCATGACAACATGTGCCACTCAGGGGTGAAGCATGACAACATGCTTCACTCAGGGGTGAAGCATGACAACATGCTTCACTCAGGGGTGAAGCATGACAACATGCTTCACTCAGGGGTGAAGCATGACAACATGTGTCACTCAGGGGTGAAGCATGACAACATGTGTCACTCAGGGGTGAAGCATGACAACATGCTTCACTCAGGGGTGAAGCATGACAACATGCTTCACTCAGGGGTGAAGCAAGACAACATGCTTCACTCAGGGGTGAAGCAAGACAACATGCTTCACTCAGGGGTGAAGCATGACAACATGCTTCACTCAGGGGTGAAGCAAGATAACATGCTTCACTCAGGGGTGAAGCATGACAACATGCTTCACTCAGGGGTGAAGCATGACAACATGCTTCACTCAGGGGTGAAGCAGGGGTGAAGCATGAGAACATGCTTCACTCAGGGGTGAAGCAAGACAACATGCTTCACTCAGGGGTGAAGCAGGGGTGAAGCAAGACAACATGCTTCACTCAGGGGTGAAGCAAGACAACATGCTTCACTCAGGGGTGAAGCAGGGGTGAAGCAAGACAACATGCTTCACTCAGGGGTGAAGCAAGACAACATGCTTCACTCAGGGGTGAAGCATGACAACATGCGTCACTCAGGGTGAAGCATGACAACATGCTTCACTCAGGGGTGAAGCAAGACAACATGCTTCACTCAGGGGTGAAGCATGACAACATGCGTCACTCAGGGTGAAGCATGACAACATGCTTCACTCAGGGGTGAAGCAAGACAACATGCTTCACTCAGGGGTGAAGCATGACAACATGCGTCACTCAGGGGTGAAGCATGACAACATGCTTCACTCAGGGGTGAAGCAAGACAACATGCTTCACTCAGGGGTGTGAAGCATGAAAACATGCGTCACTCAGGGGTGAAGCATGACAACATGCTTCACTCAGGGGTGAAGCATGAAAACATGCGTCACTCAGGGGTGAAGCATGACAACATGCGTCACTCAGGGGTGAAGCATGACAACATGCGTCACTCAGGGGTGAAGCATGACAACATGCTTCACTCAGGGGTGAAGCATGACAACATGCTTCACTCAGGGGTGAAGCATGAAAACATGCGTCACTCAGGGGTGAAGCATGACAACATGCTTCACTCAGGGGTGAAGCAAGACAACATGCGTCACTCAGGGTGAAGCATGACAACATGCTTCACTCAGGGGTGAAGCATGAAAACATGCGTCACTCAGGGGTGAAGCATGAACAACATGCTTCACTCAGGGGTGAAGCATGACAACATGCGTCACTCAGGGTGAAGCATGACAACATGCTTCACTCAGGGGTGAAGCATGACAACATGCTTCACTCAGGGGTGAAGCAAGACAACATGCGTCACTCAGGGTGAAGCATGACAACATGCGTCACTCAGGGGTGAAGCATGACAACATGCTTCACTCAGGGTGAAGCAAGACAACATGCGTCACTCAGGGGTGAAGCATGACAACATGCGTCACTCAGGGGTGAAGCAAGACAACATGCTTCACTCAGGGGTGAAGCATGACAACATGCTTCACTCAGGGGTGAAGCATGACAACATGCTTCACTCAGGGGTGAAGCATGACAACATGCTTCACTCAGGGGTGAAGCATGACAACATGCTTCACTCAGGGGTGAAGCATGACAACATGCTTCACTCAGGGGTGAAGCATGACAACATGCTTCACTCAGGGGTGAAGCATGACAACATGCTTCACTCAGGGGTGAAGCATGACAACATGCTTCACTCAGGGGTGAAGCATGACAACATGCTTCACTCAGGGGTGAAGCATGACAACATGCGTCACTCAGGGGTGAAGCATGACAACATGCTTCACTCAGGGGTGAAGCATGACAACATGCTTCACTCAGGGGTGAAGCATGACAACATGCTTCACTCAGGGGTGAAGCATGACAACATGCTTCACTCAGGGGTGAAGCATGACAACATGCTTCACTCAGGGGTGAAGCATGACAACATGCTTCACTCAGGGGTGAAGCATGACAACATGCTTCACTCAGGGGTGAAGCATGACAACATGCTTCACTCAGGGTGAAGCATGACAACATGCTTCACTCAGGGGTGAAGCATGACAACATGCGTCACTCAGGGGTGAAGCATGACAACATGTGTCACTCAGGGGTGAAGCATGACAACATGTGTCACTCAGGGGTGAAGCATGACAACATGCTTCACTCAGGGGTGAAGCATGACAACATGCTTCACTCAGGGGTGAAGCATGACAACATGCTTCACTCAGGGGTGAAGCATGACAACATGCTTCACTCAGGGGTGAAGCATGACAACATGCGTCACTCAGGGGTGAAGCATGACAACATGTGTCACTCAGGGGTGAAGCATGACAACATGCTTCACTCAGGGGTGAAGCATGACAACATGCTTCACTCAGGGGTGAAGCATGACAACATGCTTCACTCAGGGGTGAAGCAAGACAACATGCGTCACTCAGGGGTGAAGCATTACAACATGCTTCACTCAGGGGTGAAGCATGACAACATGCTTCACTCAGGGGTGAAGCAAGACAACATGCGTCACTCAGGGTGAAGCAAGACAACATGCGTCACTCAGGGTGAAGCATGACAACATGCTTCACTCAGGGGTGAAGCATGACAACATGCTTCACTCAGGGGTGAAGCATGACAACATGCTTCACTCAGGGGTGAAGCATGACAACATGCGTCACTCAGGGGTGAAGCATGACAACATGCTTCACTCAGGGGTGAAGCATGACAACATGCGTCACTCAGGGGTGAAGCATGACAACATGCTTCACTCAGGGGTGAAGCATGACAACATGCTTCACTCAGGGGTGAAGCAAGACAACATGCGTCACTCAGGGGTGAAGCATGACAACATGCGTCACTCAGGGGTGAAGCATGACAACATGCTTCACTCAGGGGTGAAGCATGACAACATGCTTCACTCAGGGGTGAAGCAAGACAACATGCTTCACTCAGGGGTGAAGCAAGACAACATGCTTCACTCAGGGGTGAAGCATGACAACATGCTTCACTCAGGGGTGAAGCATGACAACATGCTTCACTCAGGGGTGAAGCATGTTTATCACAATAGAAGTCATTCTCAACAACCAGATGCAAATTATTTTCTATAAACTATTATTGAATCATTAATAAAACATTTCCACCGAAAATAAATCCAGGTTATGTTTTACAATCTTTGTTGTACTTTCTGACATAAAAGTATTGGTCTAACTAGATACATTATGAAACTAGAACCAGGCCTTTTAAGAGGAATTGACAAGTAGCCTTTTTTAAGCCCATGGCAATAAGAATAACGGCACAAACGTACTTATTTTTATAAGTCAAATTTTATTTATTAACAAATGCTTTTCTGGCCTTTACCTGAAACAGCGATTGATAAAGAAAATATATCTTTTGGGCAATGTTACTCTTGATATTAAAGTTATCAAATACCAAAATAGTTAAAAAGGGCCTAAATTTAAGGCAGCATTTAAGCATGGGCCGGTACCAAATGGTTCTCCTGACTCCTACTCTAACTGGGTCTGATTACAACTGGCAAAGGCAGTGGAGTGTGTACAGTGTGGCAAGTAATAGTCGCACGACGTTCTTTTTTTAATGTAACGTGAGATAATCACTTGTCTTTTATATTCATAAGGATATTGATTTCCATTCCTCCCCGACGTAGGTCGCTAATATAATTACTCAGTTACATCGTGTGATATATGTCTGAGAGGCAGTTAAGTGGAGGTTATAATGCTTCATGATATTGTGGGGGAAATAAAATTGTGAATGACAGGCTCCTAGAAGAATGACAGGGTCCTAGAGGAATGACAGGCTCCTAGAGGAATAATAGACTCCTAGAGGAATGACAGGCTCCTAGAGGAAGGGCTTCAGTGTGTATATCAGTTCTTATTTGATTTTTATAATAAAGAGAAATCCAGGTTAATAATAATTACTTTCGGTTTAATACCTTAGGAATCTGATGGTAAAAAAAAAATCATTTAAGAATGCATCAGGAAGTGAACAGGATATGACTGTAAGGAGACTGATGAGTATACCTGCATCTCAGCTGTTGAAAAAAGTTCAGTTATTTAATTTATTAGCAAAGATATATTGTACAATATAGTTCACGTTATAATAATTATGGTGGTAGTTATGAAAGTACTGAGGCCATAATAACATGGATGAAAAGCTATAAGGTGACAAAAGACAAGGATAAGAGTGATAATTCATCTCCGATGATATGAAGGCTTCATATCATCGGAGATTATATAAAGGCTTCAAATCAGTAAACATTAACCTTAAGTCCTCTCTTGGGAAGAATGTTTGTGACGTCTGTGGTCCATACGATCTGCGCCACTGTGAGCACCACCTGTGAGGGCCACTGAGTAATCCACAGACCATGTGGAGTGAGTGGATGATTCTCCACGGCCCTCACTGCCACGTCCTGCATGCTCTGTACCATCATCTCCTCCACCTCCACCAGCCACCGCTCTACCAGTCCCTGAACAACATACCGCAAATGTAGCTTAGATAAGATATTTCTCTTTCATAAGTGTAATAAACACTGGTCAGTGATCAAACACAGGGACAATAAAACAGAAGATGAAATAAGCATTCAATATTTCGGCTTTGTGCCGGGTGTTCTGAGGAGGGCATCAGTGTGAAGACGAGATTCACAGAATTTATCATTTATCTATTCGTCCGAGTGTGCCAATTGTGCCATAAATTTTCTCCTCCGGTTTCTGCAGTTCTGACACTGATAAATTTTGCATTTTACTTTTACAGATATGATAACTTGTAATGTTTACTGTTCTGATTGGTGAGATTTTAATTAATTTAGCCATTAATATAAGGAACAATTTGCAATGTAAATAAAGTGACGGATGTTGTAGTGACTTGTGCCCAGTACATGTTGACTTTCATCTAGTGTACATTCTGCTAGTGAGGACTCCAGCTGAGAGTCGAAATATACTGCCTCATTTTCATTACTGCTTTTTTTGTCTGTGAGAAGCCCTTCAACATCGACAAATGTTAATTACATTTTCATTATCTTAAAACTATTAGGCCTAGTTTTTAAGCCTTTACTAAATGTATCTACATGTCCTTGCACTGCAGTTTAGAGGAAGAATACTGAGTACATAATATACTAGCCTCTTCTGGAGGCAAAAATTAAATTATTCGAGAAAAGAAAATTAAAATTTATATAAGAGGACTAGGTACTGACCTATGGCTGTATAGAAGAAAAATATTTTTATATTAAAAAAAGTGGTTCACATGCAATGTGTAGCTACCTTATACGATGTAAGTTACATTATGGGAACACCCGTAGTGTCCAGCTACCATACTCTGCCTGAGCTACATTATGGAACAACAGTAATGAATGACCACCATATTTTATATTATAATTAAAATGTGGGCACACAAGCAGTGTGCAGCTATTGTAGAGAATATGGTAATTGCACACTACGGATATTCCCACAATATGACAGTTATATTCTGGAAAAAAACTAGCTTTGTTTCTGTCATATTTCATTATTCACCCTGGCTTTGGCGGGGATGACTCTGTTGCTGAACTGCACCAGTTCTCCTTCTGCAGAGATCATCCCCTCTATCTCCTGTTGTGCTGAGAAGTGCAGACGACTAATACCCTCGAAGCACTTCTTCAAGTGCGGCTGCACTCGCTGTGGGTCCTTCGTCTCAGAGAGAATCTCCAGCAGCTCGTCGTTTGAGAGGAAGAAAAACCTGTCGCAGCAAATTTAATGACGAGTCACTGAGTATACATATATAAATATAACGAAAAGAAAGACAGAAAATGAGAACTCTCATCCTTAAGAGAGAGAACATTGAAAGGTCAGTAAGTAACCGACCTTGAGATGGACAAAAACTGACCTTGGGAAGAAGAGTCTCTTCTTTTCTAAGTAGTCATTGAGACCTTTCTGTATCTCCTCCAGAAGACGGTTACATTCATGCAACCTAGGGAGGAAAAACATTCGATATATTGAAATTTGCTTCTGAGAATATAAAAGCTCACCTAGACAGTTATTTTCTGTTTATCTACATGTATTGGACATATTCTAACATTGTGAGCATTACTGTAGACTCTGATAATACTAATTTATTAATTCACATGTTATGTAGCCTGAATACAGAATCATCAGCATTATAGAAACTTAAATGGATAGCAAACTAGGTTCTTCAGTGTAAATAAACCTGCTTGAACGAATCTTCAACTGTAAGTATAATATATCAAGTCTTCAGTTGTAAGTGTTATAGGTCCCCTGAGCAGTAAGCTGTAGTTGCTAAATGTGCCTTTGCCTACCGGAAAGAGTTTTGCCACTGCACAGCACTGGGCAGCACGTTGACTTGTTAAGTGCACATTTATCATCTGCAACAACTCTGCCATTGTGAGTATGAAGGCTCACCTAGGTAGCATGTTGGCTTGCTCGGTAGCTACAAGGGCATGAGGATCCTTCACCGCTGTGCCCATCAGCTGCCTCCAGGTGGCGTCTACACGAGTAAACTTACGACCCTCGACCGGCATTTGCTTCATGATGTCCTCGGAGGAGAAGATGGGCTCTAGGTATAGCCACGTCACTTGACACTGTAAACAAGACGAATTATATTAGATTATATACCTAAAACTATCTCTTTTGCGACAGATACACCAAATTACTACATTTTAGCACTATTTATACACCTCAGAACATACTTTTTTTTAAGAAGTGTTGATTACACGGTATATCTAAACATGACCCAAAACTGATTCCTAAATGGAATTCTCGTCCAAAGTTGGAGATTCAAAGAATAGGTAGGAATACACAAAGCATTTTTTTTTCAGCAATCACAATTTTCCCTATTACCTCATTCAACAGATTCATCTTCATTATGAGAAATCACAATATATAGCAATACCTAGAAGAAATTCCCTGACCTTGATCCAAGCGTCAAGAATATCCTGCATGGACAGGAGCTTTTCCTCCCATGTACGGATCTCAGCTTCAAATGGCTTAACGTATGGCGAGCCTCGCATTGTCTGCACCTTTTGCGTGTGTTCATCCAGCAACACTTGGATGTCGTCCACTGCAGCCAAGATGGATACTCCCGTTTCTCTAGTGGACGAAGAGGTTATAATTAAGCCAATGACAGAATTTTCGTCTCAGAACTGAGAAAACCGAGGTCCAATCCTCAGGCAAGCCCCGAAGTATAGGTAGGTCTTACACCTGCAGTATTAGAAGACTGCTGAATGTTGCATCCCTGGGGAAAAGGACTGATGGATACCAATGAAAACGTTGCATTTCCCGTGTACGTACTCTCCGTGTATATAACCTTCTAGTCACCGTGTTACATTTTAAGCCAATACACAGGATGAAAATCACTACAGCCGCAAGTCACTTAGACAACTTTAATCCCTAAAATAGCAACTGATGCAAACTTTCAGTGTACATATAATGAGATATATTTACCTTAGGACATCTATACCCTGTTGATAGATTAATTAAAAGTTAAAGGCCTTTTTCCTACACGAGGGTCATTAAAATCACATTATACCTATATACATCAGTGAAAGATTCTTTTATCCTTAAAATAAGGATCTAAGTAAATTTTCAGTGTATAGACACATATAATCTCTCAATACATATACCCTGTTACCCTTTAGAAGTGCCTAACTTTATGAGAACAACTTGGCTACTGACCTCCAGGGTTTGAACTCGAAGACAACGTTGGCCCATTCTCCTTTCATTTTTTCCAGGGCTTTTTCCAGGCTAAACTCCTTAGAGGCAGCATGGCTAATTTCCTCCAGCTTGCGTTGGACGGAGGGGAGGCCAGCTTCAATCATGTCTGCCAACGATGTCTCCGGTGTCAGGTTGAGTTCAGTACCCAGGTGTTCGCCCAGCTACAAGACAGTTACGCTTCACATTAGTACACGGTAGCAGTGTTTGTAATTTCAAGCAGACAAACCCCCTTGAAGAAACTGTGTGCATTAAAAACAGTAAAGGGCCAGTGGTGGAATGATCCCTCCAATAACTGAAATGATGCAGCAAGATAATAACATGTCTCCAAACCTACGAGCGTATGAAAGGAGAAGCACTGCAGCAGGCCTACTGGCCCATGCTAGGCAGGTGTAACTCACACCCACCTAAATGTCAAACGAATTTTGTATTAACATAATGGATCGGGTCACACCCAGATGTAACCGATTTACGAAAAGTTCCAGTGAAGGGGCAAATACCCTCCGACTTGATCTGATAAAAAAAAAAAAAAAAGACTTGTAAAGTGAAATTTGACTAAAAGCTCAAGAAACAATACTTGACTGAAGACTAAAAAGAACGAAACCTGGCTGAAGACTAAATGAATGAAATCTGGCTCTGGCTCATAGCTATACTTGAGAAATTTTGCTGAAGACTAAAGGAATGAAGTAGACCCAGTCACAGAAGGAAAACCTCGAATCATGCTGGCTGACCACGAGTGAGCCAGCAGTAGCTGCAACCATGGCACGCTATAGGACCATCGGTTACCATTAATGTCTTTTTTCACACTCACTATCTTGCTGCCTGGAATTGTGAAATTCTTTCTGTTGTGCACCTAAGTGCATTTTTTTTTTTTTGTCTCTGCTCTTTAATGTATTAATTAATGTTTTCTTAAATCTACTACCTTCCTCATTTAAACTTAAAAGCTATAAGCTGTGCTGATGAAATCCTGATGCAAAACTAAGCCCTCAGAATTATTATTAGCTGTAACTGGCATTACAATGTTGGGAAACTAACAAGACACTGTTCCCATATTTATCATTAAATTAACAAAAAATCTAAATGAATTATGAAAACATGCAATCAAAATAAATTCCATAACCAACATGACCTGTATCACTTAACGGGTCATCCTATAAAAACGACCCGTGTCCGGTCATTTTGCCTGGCAAACATACAACTGCGGTAAAATTAGAGTGCTCACCTGGTTCCAGTGACGCTCGCGAAGGCCAGGGTTACATATGCACTGAAGGACCGGCACATGAAGACGGAATTTTTCAATGCGCTCCTTTACGTACTCTGCCACTCGTCGCGACCCAACCTATATAATAACAAGTTATAAATCATTTGAAAGGAATGAAAGGCAAAATGACTCACTTGAAGATTTGCCCTTAAAGAAAACACTAGAATATGCTTATGGAAATTCTTAGATTAGGCTAAGTAAATTAAAATCGTTATGCCAAAACTCTGCACAACTTAGAACATTAGAAAAGTCGCAACACCATAGCTGGAAACACTTTCCCAGATTCTGGGGACCCACAAACTGAAAAAAAAAACAAGAATATTGTTCTAACTAAACCTCATGAAACACCACTGCATCCCACTGATACAGCTAACAAGATAAACAACAACTTCTCAACCATAGGATCTAATCTCGCCAATAAAATCCCACATACTAATGCCCGTGCCAGGGACTACCTAGATGGGAATTTCCCAAATTCCTTCTATCTTGTACCAACTGAGCCCACGGAAGTCTCTGTCTCACGTCCCACCATTATTGTACAGGCGAGCGGCCCATGTCCTTTCGCATGCTATTACATTACTTTTTAACAAGTCACTAGAAACTAGCACTTTCCCGACACTACTCAAGACAGCAATGGTTACACCAATACATAAAGGTGGTGACCCTACAGACGTAAACAACTATAGACCAATATCAAATTTACCATTGCTATCCAAAATCTTCGAGAAACTCGTGCTCAGGAGACTATATTAATTTATGTCACAAAACATACTCAACCCCTGCCAATTTGGATTCAGGAAAAAATAAAGCACTAATGATGCAATTATAAAAATGATAGACCTGCTTTACACAGCATTGGAAAATAAGGAATATCCACTAGGAATTTTTATTGACCTGAGAAAATCATTTGACACAGTAGACCACGGCATCCTACTCCACAAACTTGACCAATATGATATAAGAGGCCATGCGCTTGCATATTTTAAATCCTACCTTTCTAATAGGTATCAGTATGTCACCATTAAAGACACAGCCTCATCAATACGGCCACTTGATACTGGAGTTCCGCAGGGAAGTATCCTTGGACCCCTGCTCTTCCTCATTTACATCAATGATCTTCCAAACATATCCCAACACATGAAACCCATTCTCTTCGCTGACGACACGACTTATGTCATCTCCCACCCTAATCTTGCCACCCTCAACACCATTGTTAACGAGGAGCTGCTCAAAATATCGACTTGGATGATAGCCAATAAACTTACACTTAACACTGGCAAAACCTACTATATTATGTTTGGTAGCAGAGCAGGTGTTGCGCAACTTAACATTATGATCGACAACACTAATTACCAGACATAATGAGGGCAAATTCCTTGGCCTATACCTCGACAACAACCTAAATTTCAGCACCCATATCCAACACATAACAAAAAAAAAGTATCCAAAACGGTGGGGATCCTCTCCAAGATACGATACTACGTGCCGCAAACTGCCCTTCTCACACTATACCATTCACTTATATATCCTTACCTCACCTATGCTATCTGTGCTTGGGGTTCAACTGCAGCAACACACCTAAAGCCAATAATAACCCAACAAAAAACCGCAGTAAGAATAATCACTAAATTCCATCCCTGGCAACACCCCCCCCCCCACTCTTCATAGATCTAAACTTACTCCCTGTTCAGAACATCTACACTTACTACTGTGCAATCTATATCTACAGAACCTTAAATTCCAATATTAACCTTGACCTAAAATGCTTTCTTGATAGTTGTGGCAGGATCCACAGGCATAACACCAGACACAAACATCTCTATGACATTCCCGTGTTCGACTAAACTTTTACAAAAATTCAATGTATTTCAAAGGACCTAAAATCTGGAACACCCTACCTGAGAACTCTAGAACTGCAGACACATTCATCACTTTCAAAACTACAGTTAGAAAACATATTATCTCCCTGATACACCCCGACAACTAACTACATGATAGCCACCTGGTGGTTCACAATTACACTCACTCACCCACTGACTATAAACACAGAAATACTAATCTTAATCTTAAAATAATAAATCCTAACTAGTCATAAGTTTGCCTATGATACTCCAATATAGACACTTTGTATTGTGCGAAAACAAAAGCATTTACATTGCTAAACTCACAAATTATAACGTAGTCACCTAGCCTTAATACCATAATCTGTAAGGATTTAATGTTAAGAATTAATCTAAGTCTGCCCGAAATGCCTAGCCATGCTAGGTGTTCTAGTGGCCTCCTCTGTAATTAGTATTTTATAACATGTAAACCACACAATACCCAAAACTTGTAAACCCCACCTTGTAACCCTTATAGAGAATAAACTTGAATTGAATTGAATGGAATTCAACAGAAACCTGCACTTAGGAGCATAACTTTATGAAGACGTTTCCGTCTGTCCTGGACCATCGTTAAGTCACAACTTGACAGGACGGGCCAAACAGTAGTCAGTAGTCAGTAGTCAGTACAGGTTTTAGATGATTTGCTTAACTATATTTCGTTGTTTTCTCTAGAGGCGAGAGAGATGAACATTGAAGCTAGCCGATAAAAGTAAGAGAGGCTGGGAAGTGGAATAAAATATCAAAGAAAAGTTTAACTTGTGTTATACATATGCCCAATAATTAATTTACATAATACATCTATTCACAACACAGCAATCACAACAATGACCAAAGACGCTTTAAATTATTTTAACGTAACTGAAGATAAATTTCCCAACAAGTGTAAACAACACTGTATTGTGGGAGAAGACAGATGACTGTCAGCAGTATTATTATCAGTATTATTACATACGTAATAATACTGATAATTCATGTGATTTTTTGACTTCTTGACGATAAGTAACCATGGAAATCAACTATATTGGCTATTAATGCATAATTCCACCTTCTTGCCCTTCAGATTCAGAAAGCTGAGCCTAATTCAGAAATATAAAGAACTGTTTGAAAAAAAAAAAAAAGCCATAGAAGAAAACATTCGCCCCCGGGTGGGCTCGAACCACCAACCTTTCGGTTAACAGCCGAACGCGCTAACCAATTGTGCCACGGAGGCATGGTGTTAGCGGCGGGGCACTTTTAAGATATACCAACGTTATGGCTAAGAAAAAATAGTTTAAGTTATTTTTTTGTTAATTTTCATAACTTCTGCTAACTTTTTGTAGAGTCTAAAATTGCGCTAGAATTATATTGTCTATATTTACATGTGTTAGAGTGTGTGTGCGCTCACCTAATTGTTCACACCTAATTGTGGTTGCAGGGGTCGAGACTCAGCTCCTGGCCCCGCCTCTTCACTAATCGCTACTAGGTCCTCTCTCTCTCTGCATCCAGAGCTTTGTCATACCTCGTCTTAAAGCTATGTATGGTTCCTGCCTCCACTACATCACTTGCTAGGCTATTCCACTTCCTGACAACTCTGACTGAAGAAGTACTTCCTAACATCCCTGTGACTCGTCTGAGTCTTCAGCTTCCAATTGTGATCCCTTGTTTCTGTGTCCCATCTCTGGAACATCCTGTGTGTGTGTGTGTGTGTGTACTCACCTAATTGGGGTTGCAGGGGTCGAGACTCAGCTCCTGGCCCCGCCTCTTCACTGACCGCTACTGTGATGAGAGCGGTGGTGTCTATAATGTTAGTAATAGTGATGAGCATAATATAAGTGGTGGTGCAGAGTGTGATGAGGTTAGTCACATAGACATTAATGTTGAATACAATACTGTTGACAAATGTAATGAACACAATGTTGGTAGTGGCGCTGGTGATGACAGTTGTAGTGTTGCGTGTAATGTTAGTGGAGGAGGGAATGTGAGTGGTGGTGTCACCTATCATACATTCACACATAAACAGCGTCTTGCTCTGGGTTTACGAAGACTCCCACGAGGCCTTACACTGGAGGTGCCTTACAAAACTCATGGACAAGGGTAGCACTGTTGACATTGATAAGGTCTGCTATTTATATGAACAATTTTTTCATTATGCTGAGAAACTCGGCAAGATCCCAGGACTACTATAATGGATCAAAACTCGTATAAACTTTCTATATTAAGCTGGAACATTGCATCACTTAGAAAAAGACTTCCTGAACTTCATCATAAAGTAACCACCGAACCCATTGATGTTGTGTGTCTACAAGAGTGCAGAGTCCCTGAAAAATCCCAACCCCCTAAATTGCCATCATTTGTTGCATACAACCTCAAATCTACTAATTCTTGTGTTCTATATATTAAAAAATCACTTCCCCATCAACTTCTTGCACACAAGAAAACAGAGGGGCTACAATATCACGGTGTTAGGATTTATATAGGGAACTCTGCTCTCAACATATTTAACTTGTATGCTCCTGCTGATAAATTTAATTACTTGGAGCTCCCAACTTGTGCTCATTCTGAGCCTACTCTTATTATTGGCGATTACAATGCGAGACACAAAAGCATTGGAAACTCACAGCTTGGTAATCGTAATGGCAATCAACTGTTGTCACTCTTAAACAGTCATGAAATGTCCAAATTGTAGGTGACCTTGAACCCACACATATCTATGGAGGCGTCCTTGATCTGTGCCTGGGCTTCAACATTACTTCTGCCAGCTGTGAGTCTTCCATTGTAACAGATATAGCGTCTGATCATTTCCCAAGGCTAACCTCTCTTAGATATTGGTAATACTATCCTTCCTGGTGGGATATTCAAACGGAAACGTTTTAATGTTCCCACAGATCAGCATGATGACTTTGTTGCACATGTGACTGACTGGTATAATTCCTATGAGTTTTCCTCTGTAGAGACCTTTAACAATGATCTTGTGAGCAGTATTCAGAACTACTTAGAGCCGCCACTACAACCTCTTGGTACTCTAAACCCAACAAACTTCCATAATAATTATACTTCCTTCAAAAACCATACTTATTACAATGATTCTAAACTTCGTACACTGAAACGTACTGCTCGCAGACTAGGCCTAGCCTATAGAAAACATCGTACCCCTGGAATGCTGAGACTTCCAAACTGCCCTTGCTGCTGCCAGAGAGCGTATGACAGAGCTGTGGC